ATATCGGTCAGCGTTTTGGTATAGACGCCACATAACGGTATCTCACGATATTCCGTATTTTGATGATTTTCGAAACATTTTTCCACGCATTTGTCTAAAAATTGGTGTATGTAGGTCATAATTGGTTATAGTTTCACGGGCGGAACATTGAATGTATAGATCCACGTTTTCGTATATCCCCCATATAAGGGTACCTCCCGATATTCGGTGTTTTGATGATTTTTGCCACTTTTTTCCACGGATTTGTCTTTAAATTGGTATTTGTAGTGTTTAATGGCTTCTAGCTCCTGTGGCGAAACATAGTATATATAGGTCCACGTTTTCGTATATCTCCCATATAAGGGTACCTCCCGATATTCGGTGTTTTGATGATATTTGTCACATTATCCACGAACTCGTGTAAAAATTGGTATTTGTAGTTCTTAATGGGGTTTCGCTCCAGTAGCTGAACATTGAATAGCTGGTCCATGTTTCCTACAGCCGCCATATAAAGATACCCACTGATATCCTGTATTTTGATAATCCTTCTTACTTGTTCTTTTCTTTTTTTGTTCTTTTCTCAAATTATAAAACATATATCTGCTGATCCCATAACTATGATAAATACATAAGTTTAAACAAAGGATTCGATATGTATTTAGAAGAGTAGGAGTCATATATTTCCTTAGATATTGCTGGTTTGCCGACCCAAGTGTTCGACCCTGGGTAAAGATATCTTACCCAAACGCTGTTGTTACTCAATATGCAGTGGAAGGAGCAAGTGTGGTAATAAAGTTAAGCACATTGTTGTCATTACTTTGTAATACTGAAAGAGGCTTGCAAATTGTTACTGCGTAGCTGTTTCGTCCGGACGTTAGTGAGTCAGTCACTTAACCGATATACTACTCTTCTATACACATAGCTCTGTATTCATCGTAAGCGTCACAAGACAACACAAAATTGATTACAGTCCAACCGCATTTGTTGTTGAAATAGATATAATTTTCCTTCCTCAGCAAAATATTTTCATAAAACAAGTAAAAAAAAACATTAAGTTCGGCCGGGCCAAACTTAGGGTAAAGGAAACATTAGAAGAAATGTGGCAAAAACCATCAAAATACCAAAAACCGGGAGGTACCGTTATAAGGGGGCTATATCAAATCATGGACCTATACATACAATGTTTTGCCAACGGAGCTAAAACCCATTATGACAACAAATACCAATTTTCAGACAAATCCGTGAAAAAATTTGGCAAAAATCATCAAATTGCCGAATGTCGGGAGGTACCGTTATATGGGGGCTATACCAAAACGTGGCCCTATAAATGCAATGACTCGCCACACGATCTGGAACCCATTATGATCTACAACTACCAATTTTCAGAGTAATTCTTGAAAAAATGTGTCAAAAATCATCAAAATACCGAATATTGGGAGGTACCGTTATATGGGGACTATATCAAAACGTGGACCTATACATACAATGTTCCGCCACACGAACTAGAACCCATTATGTAACACAAATACCAATTTTTAGACAAATCAGTGAAAAAATGTGGCAAAAACCATTAAAATACCGAATATTGGGAGGTACCGTTATATGGGGGCTATACCAAATCATGGACCAATACATGCAATGTTTTGCCACCGGAGCTGGAACCCATTATGACCAATAAATACCAATTTTTAGACAAATCCGTGAAAAAATGTGGCAAAAATTAAAATACCGAACATCAGGAGGTGCCTTATATGGAGGCTATACCAAAACGTGGACCCATTCATACAATGTTTTGCCACCCGCACAGGGACCCATTATGACCTAAAAGTACCAATTTTCAGACAAATCCGTGAAATAATGTGGCATAAATAATCAAAATACCGAATATCGGGAGGTACCGTTATATGGGGACTATACCAGAACATGGACCGATATATCATTTTCAATACCAACCATCCTAGACACAATACAAACAGCTCTGCTAAATTTTGGCGCTCTACGTCAAATAATGTGGGCTGTATCGTGATTTCAACAGACAGACGGACATCGTTATATCGACTTAGAATTTTATGCTGATTATGAATATATATACTTTATGGGGTCTACGACGAATATTTAAGGATGTTACAAACGGAATGACAAAGTTAATATACCCTCCTTTCCAAGGTGGAGGGTATAAAAATTCACAATTGGTCGGAGAAAAGTTTTTGTTTTCAAATTTAACCCAGTTAACTATAAAACAGCATTAAAAACCAGTAAGGAAAGCTCAAAAGTCGGGCGGGGCCGACTATATGATACCCTACACCACTATGCATATTTAGTAGAGCTCTCGTAAAAAGGTTTATACAGGGCATTTCAGAGCTCTATGAGATATTTGGTACAAAATCAAAATCTATCTAATTCTATCGTACATTTTACGAACTATAGCTATATCTGAACCGATTTTCACCAAGTTTGATGTATTTGATTCTAGGCTGAATTCGGTCAGATTTGCCAAAACCCAGGACATTTGGGCTGATATTGGACATTTGGTGCGCAATCAACACGAAATTGGATGAATATATATATATAGGAGGTATATCCAAATCTGAACCGATATTTGTAAAACTGAAAAAGAAGATATTTCTTGGCTGCATCTGATACCAAATATTATTCTTGTATCGTACATTTTTCGAATTTGAGGGACTTAAAGTACAAATCGGATGAAAGGTATATATAGGAGCTATAGCTGTATCCGGCCGATTTTCACTAAATTTGATGTACCAATATTAGCCATTTGCTGCACATTTAATCCGAAATCGGATGAAGATATATTTGGGAGCTATAGCTATATCTGAAACGACTTTTACTAAAATTGGTGTCCTTGCTTCTAGGCTGAATTTGGCCAGATATGCCAAAATTCATGCCATTTCGGTTGATATTGGCCATTTGTTGCACAATTAACTCGAAATCGAATGAAGATACATATGGGAGGCATATCCAATTCGGAACAGATTTTAATAAAATTAAAATCAACTATTTTTGGGCTTTATCTGATAACTGGTACCAAATATCATTTCTGTGGAGTGCATATTACGAATGTGAGGGATTTAAAGACGAAATCGGATGAAACATATATATGGGAGCTATAGCTATATCTGAACCGATTTTTACTAAAATTGGTGTACTTGCTTCCAAGCTGGTTTCGGTCGGATTTGCCAAAATTGATGCTATTACGGCCATTTGGTGGTCAATAACCCGAAATCGGATGAAGATATATATGGGAGCTATATCCAAATCTGAACCGATTTCGATAAAATTTAAAACAGCTATTCCTGTGCTCCATCTAATACCTGGTACCAAATATCACGGTTGTGGAGTGAACATTACGAATGTAAGGGACTAAAACACTAAATCGGATGAAACATATATATGGTTGCTATATCTGTATCTGAACCGATTTTCACCAAATTTGATATACTTGCTTCTAGGCTGAATTTGGTCCGATGTACTAAAATTCAGTCCATTTGGACTTATATCGGCCATTTGGTGCACAATTAACCCGAAATCGGATGAAGATATATATGGGAGCTATATCCAAATCTGAACCGATTTCGATAAAATTACAAACAGCTATTTCTGGGCTGTACCTTATATCTGGTACCAAATATCACGGTTGTGGAGTGAACATTACGAATGTAAGGGACTAAAACACTAAATCGGATGAAACATATATATGCTTGCTATATCTATATCTGAACCGATTTTCACTAAATTTGATATACTTGCTTCTAGGCTGAATTTGGTCCGATGTACTAAAATTCAGTCCATTTGGGCTTATATCGGCCATTTGGAGCACAATTAACCCGAAATCGGATGAAGATATATATGGGAGCTATATCCAAATCTGAACCGATTTTCTCCAAATTTGTTGCATTTACTTTAAGGCTAATCTCGGTCACATGTGCCAAAATTCGGGCCATTTGGGCTGATATTGGCCATTTGGTGGTCAATTAACCCGAAATCGGATGAAGATATATATGGGAGCTATATCCAAATCTGAACCGATTTCGATAAAATTTAAAACAGCTATTTCTGTGCTCCATCTAATACCTGGTACCAAATATCACGGTTGTGGAGTGCATAGTAGGAATGTGAGGGACTTAAAGATCAAATCGGATGAAAGATATATATGGGAGCTATAGCTATGTCTGAACCGATTTGATATACTTGCTTCTAGGCCGAACTCGGTTGGGTGTGCCAAAATTCAGGTAATTTGGACTGATAGTGGACATTTGGTGCTCATTTAACCCGAAATCGGATGAAGATATATATGGGAGCTATATCTAAATTTGATCCCATTCTCACCAATTTCAATAGGGTTCGTCCTTGGGCCAAAAAAATATTGTTTGGAAAATTTCATCTCAATCGGATAATAAATGCGACCTGCATTTTGTTCACAAGAATACATGGACAGACGGACGGACGGACGGACAGACGGACGGACATGCATAAATCGACTCAGAAAGTGATTCTATGAAGGTTCTCAAAAGTAACTATGGGTCTATCTCGTTTCCTTCTCCATGTTACAAACAAATGCACAAAGACATAATACCCTTACCACTATGTGGTGTAGGGTATAAAAAACAGAGTAGAATATTGATGCCGTAATTTGTTTACAATTTCTTGTGCGACAACAAACAATATCGACATTCTATTTTATTGTTTTCCTTATCAAAACTACTTGGCCACAACCACACGATAATTTTTTTTTATCTATTTCGCTTTTTGGTGAACGGTAGCCAGAAACAAGTGTCATGATAACTTTACGATAAGTAATTAAGCCTCTTTGCATTAAAATATGAAACATTGATTTGATAAAAGGAAAAAAGAACCGTGTCATGAGTAATTATTCATTTACTTAAATTCGAAAGATTTTTACAAAAAGCCACAGTTCTCATTGTGACTTCGGTATCAACAAACCGTAATTGATCGAATTGAATTCATTGTTGAAGTAAATCGGAAGTAAATAAATTTTTAAAATGGCTCCACACTGGGAAGAAGAACGTCGTCACCATCATCATCATAACCGCCCCATTATTGAAGTGGATATTGTAAATCCTATGTCTAGGCCCTATGTGCCACCGCCTCGTCCTGTTGTAGAAGTAGACATAGTGAATCCTAGGCCTTATGTTCCACCGCCTCGTCCTGTTGTTGAAGTTGATATAGTGAATCCCATGTCTAGGCCCTATGGACCACCACCACAGCGTGTGACAACAGAGGTTTATGTACCACCCCAACAGTACGCTCCTCCTCCACAAAGAGAAATCGTAATTGTTGAAAACCGTCCACCTCCACCCCGCGAGCACTGGGATAATTCACCTCGCTGGTAATATTTCCTGGAAGATACCCACATAATTTGTGTGTGACAAAATCATTTATTTAAACATTATTAATATTAATTTGCAAACGTACAATTTTGAACATTTTTATGATACAAAAAAATATACATATTTATTGTAATAAATTTCTTACTATATTCCAAATTAAGTTTGTATCTTTTTTCGTAATTTGTAATACCGCTATTTTGTAATATTATTCAAACAGTAAAAAATATGACGCTTCCGGAAAATATGTGGTCTTTTGCGAAATAAACACAGACATTTCAGCTGAAAAAGTAACTAGAGAAGCTATACAAAATTATGGGCAAACTTAGAATCAGTTTCTATCGACTTAGAACCCAAAACGATTTATAATTTTTAGTTAACTGTTTTTGCAAGCAAAAAAATTACAGCCAATTGGGTTGGAAATTGTGTCAGAAAATGTTGAAACTTGGAAGCCGTAGATAATAATGTGGAATTTATCTTGACAGGCAACTATGCAAATTTTAAATACCCACTATGAAACTTATGGCAAAACAACAACAAGTTAAAAAGCAGTAAGTTCGGCCGGGCCGAACTTTGAATACCCTCCACCATTTGCAACGAATTTGGAGATTTTCAAAAAATAAAATTCCTAAAAAATTCTGTTAAATTTTTAAAAATACCGAATATAGCCGTTATATAGGGGTCTATACGGCGTGGACCTACATAGGTATTGTTTGTCAAAAGTCATTACCATATTAAACGGTGAATAATGTACCTAAATTCATCAAAATATCGTATATAGGGAGGTACCGTTATATCGGAGCTGTGCGAAGACCTGAACCAACATAGACAATTTTCTGTCACAGGCTGTAGCATCCAATTCGAACTTCAAATACGACAACCCAAACAATTCGGTGGTTATTGTACCTAAACTCGTCAACATTCCGAATATAGGGAGGTACTGATATATAGGGCTATACGAAGACGTGGACCTGCACAGACAATTTTGTGTCATAGAGTTATGTTTTTTGATTTTATAATAAAATACATTAAGTTGTATTTTAATATTTTATTAAAAATTTATTATTTCGACTAAAGACTTAATATTTAACCGATAAATAATTATACAACTTTCCAATTTGAGATCTCTTTAAGAACTGAACTTTAAACAAACTACATTGTATTACAGAAGTAAATATTCTACAATTGAAATTGATGAGCATACCCTCCTCCATAGTATGGTGGAGGGTATAAAAATACTTTCAAAACGCCAAAAGAAAAACCGTACTAGAATTACAAACGTAGAACCCTGATTTACAAACGTAGAACCCTAAATTGTTTTAAAATTTAGCCTGAAATACTGACCAGTAAAAAGAGGACAAAAGTTTGTTTGTATGTTTATTATATTGAAATCGGTTCAGATTTGAATAAGGCCCCCATATATATAATCGACCGATTTCACATATTTGATGCCCCAAACACGATACATATGTCTGATTCCAATGAAATTTGAAATGTGTGACGGGATTTGATTAGAAAATAAATTTGTCAAATTATATTGAAATCAGTTCAGATTTGGATATAGTTCCCATATATATGATATACCGATTTCACATATTTGATGCACCAAACACTATAAGTATGTTCGATTCCAATGAAATTTGAAATGTGTGACGAGATTTGATTAGAAAATAAATTTGCCAATCTATATTGAAATCGGTACAGATTTGGATATAGCTCTCATATGTATTTTAGCCAATTTCACAAATTTTATGCACCAAACACGATACACATGTCTGATAAAAAATAAATTTGCCAAATTATATTGAAATCGGTTGAGGTTTGGGTATGTCTCCCATATACATTTTTATCCCGATCTCATTTAAGTTACTTCAAAAGATTGCAGTTTCCTACATGCTTGACAGTTGCTATGAAATCGGGTCAGCTAGTATAGTTTCACGTTTTGGTAAAGACCCCAATAAAGGATACCGCCTACTTTATTGTATTTCAATGACTTTTATTGCATTCTCCATCCGGTTTCACTGGCATAAATGGATCTCGGTGAATAGTAGATCCGGAAACTTTTATTTTTAATGTTTTCTTTTCCTTAACGTATAACAATCTGGGCCCGCACGAACTTCCTTTTTACTAGTTTTTGATTGTTTTAATACGTTGATAGTTTTGATTGTTTAAATATCTTCGCTTATATATATATATATATATATATATATATATATATATATATATATATATATATATATATATATATATACATATATATATATATATATATATATATATATATATATATATATATATATATATATTATTTATATGTAAAGTTTAGTGTTAAGAAAATGTTGTAAATAAATTAATTTCCCTTCCAGCCACGGGCGTTTTCCTTCTCGTTCTTTCGTTACACCGTTTTGTGATGAGGTTAGGAGTCGACCTCATCAGGCGTAAAAGATTAATTATCTTTGACTATTCCTTAATCATTTAGCCAATTATGAGGTGGACAAAACTAAGTACCACGCAGCGCTGTTGGAAATACAAATTCCCATTTATATTATTTTTTTTTTTATATTATTTTTTATATCATATAGATTTTAACACTCAAATTAAAGCCTAAAGCTGAAAAATAAGATCAGGCTATTCAAAATATCTAAAAACGATGGTAGGTGAACATCTATTAAAATATTTGCCATGAATATTTATTTATACATCAATATTGCCATTCATAATTTAGTTGCATCGCTTTCGAACTATATAACAAATATCCTCAGGATTTATATATCTAAGAATATAAAAAATTACATAAATAATCTTTTCAATTATTATTAGAGTAAACAAAAGTCTGTACACATTTGTGGGTTGACATTCGACGCCAACAACTGTTTCTTTCATAATGCGGTTGCAGTTCAGTGTTTTATTTATAGTCATGACAGATGCCCCCTATAATACGAGATTTCACTAAATGAATGTTGGTTGTAGTTTCATAACATGCCTGTCCCCTAAGTAGATGTTTACGCACCATTAAGCGATTTGGCCCATCTCCCTCCCACTCTGTCCTCGCTAGCTATATTTGTTGATTATAGGTGGGCTTCTCCGAAATAAACACATATAAATGTTTTAAAATCGAATGTAGCTAGAGCATTAAATCGGACAGCACCGCTGAAGAAAGCTATGCAAAATATGGACTTACATAGAAACAATTTCTGTCGACTTAGAACCCAAACGATTAATTCTTATTAGCAAACTGTTTTTTGCTGGCAAAGACCCAGATGTCGAATTACAGCTAATTGTTGCCAAGTTTCTGGTACATGAAATAATGTGGAATCTTTATTGAGAGGCGAACTTTGCGAATTTTAAGTGACCAATGTTAAAAAAAAAAACTTTCAAAGTGCTAAAAAAGGACCATAGCGGAAAAATTCGCTGATTTACAAACATGAAACCTTAAATTGTTTCAAAAATTAGCATGGAAATTGAAGGTATTAACTGTAAAAAGAGGACAAAAGTTGGGCGCTCTCACTATATAATACCGTAAACGTTAATCAAATCATATCAATTATGATCGTCATTTAATGTGTATTAAGGCATTTGTGCAGATAAACATCGATATCGAAGCAATTAATATTTTCGTATTATTGTATAATTTACATAAAATAAGGGGGGGGGAGGATTATTTTGGAAACTGTATTTAAGTTTGAATCGATTTTGAAAAAAATAAGAATATTTATTTCTGGACTGTATTTCATATCCTGTGCCAAATATTAACATTGGTTGTCCAACATATAAGGGAAGGTGTGACAAAAATGATTCTATACAACTAATCGATCTGACTTTAGAGTAGCTCCACAATGCTTAAAAAATAATGCAATCAAAATTTGTTAACGTTGAGGCATAGTTCCTAAGTAACGGTATCCTCCGATTTGAAGAAATATGAAGGTTATAGGCACATTTTTAATTGAAATGGACTGACATTTGACATCTGGTTTTCTTAATGGACCCTACCCCTGATTTTATTTCTTTGGAGGATTTTTACCATATGTTTTCAATCGATTTTGCTTAAATTTAACATTCTTGTTTAAGATAGGGCAGCAAATTGATGTATGAAAAATTGTGAACGTGGAACATGTTTTGATATAGCTCCCATAGAACCCTTTCTCTACTTGAGGGATTTTAAATACAAAATATATCTTCTTGCAAAAAATGTTCACTCTTTGGTATATCTCCCATATGAAGGTACCTCCGCATTTGCAGCATTTTAAACGTTAAAGTGACGTTCTGAAACAGATGTACCTAAAATCAATTTTTTCGTAATCTATAAACTTCTTCCAGTGTTATGCAGAAAAGTTTAAGAGTGCCAAGGAATGCCATAGGTAGTAAAACTCAACCTTTTTTAAGAGTATGCTGCGAAAAAATGTTAAAAAACGGGGAACTCTTAGAGTTTATTTTTACTGCAATAGTAACAAAGGTTAAAATACTAACATTTGGCGTAATTTAATGGTCGAACTGACTATACTGCAACGAGTAGTTCAAGTTTTTCCAAATTCATAAACATTAAATAATTCCATATTCCGCCACCGCAGCTAGAGCCAACTATGACCTACAAATACCAATTTTTAGACAAATCCGTGGAAAAATGTGGCAAAAATCATTAAAATATCGAATATCGGGCGGCTACACCAAAACGTGAACCTCATGGTGCTGAGTCCTGTTGGAATGTCCAAGCTCTGCGGCCAAAATGTTTGCGTGCCCAAAGCTTTAATACACCCTCCAGAATATTTTCGCGATAATATTCGGAATTTATTCTAATGCTACGGTCGATTAATTCGAGCCGAGAGCGACCATCTGCTGTTATGGCGGCCCACACCATCACCATGGCCGGCGCTGGTGGCCAAACGAAGGTGCTCATTTTCAGCTGACCTCTTGGCAAATAAACATTTTGTTTGTTTACAAACTGCTGGACAACGAATGTTTTCTCATCGGAGAAAACCAAATTCGGCAATTCACAACCTTCGGTTTTA